CATGGAATGATTTAAAATGGAGAATAAAAGAATGTGGCATATGGAATGCCATTGCCACTGATATTTCTTTCTGTACATTGTCTTATACATGAGATTTGTCTTCTCTGGTTTCTTTGTTTTTGACAATTCCTATTGATTGGCATATGGACATCAATTCCAAATATTGCTAATAGTTCGATAAGAACTGCTGTACTCAAGTTGAGATGCCTTTTTTTTATTTCCATTCTTTGAGCTTGATATTTGTGCGCATGTGTGTGTATGTGTAATATTTAGGGGAACTTAGGGGTTCTGAAAGATTTTTGTCAACTTCCACCTACATGCTATTGCAATTCCAGGAATCACATCTATCTTTGTTTGGGGAAGGTTGCTGCAGGTTTTTTTATTTAGTACACCAAGAATAGAATTTGGCCTCAGAACCTTGAATTTTTTAGTCTACTATGTGCTCATTTGATGCAATTCATGGTATTGGTATTTGGTTTTGAGCTTCCACTTTCAAAGGCTGGCTCTGCCAAGAAATCTCATTTAACTTTTTCATTTTGAGGCTGTTGCTGTTTCTGTTATTATTTATATTTTTTTGTAACAATGCATCTGAACTGGACATAGAAACTGCTTCATAATATTATAATTGCAGGGAATTCTTCAATCTCAAGGAAGAATTTTAAGGAAGATGAGGTTTATGCCATCATCATTGTCATCAAATTCTCATCGGCTATTGACTGCTCTTGTTGATTCGCGTCATAAAAAAGTCTATAAGGTTAAGAACTGCATTACTGACATTGATCCTGAAAGGGAAAAGGAGGAAAAAGAGAAGGTAACTAGTTGCTTATGTTAAAGTTGCCGTGTGAGGTTGTTGCTCATTGACATGAATTTCCAATGTTCTTGTTCTTATGATTTTGCAGGCTGAAAATCAAACCATCAGAGCTAACGTACTTTTGAATCGCAAGAGAGAAAAGGTGAACCGAAAGTATACACAAACTGTGGAAAGAAAGCGTCAACTTTCAACTGGGTATTTGGAGGGTGCTCTTGATGAGGTCTGAATTTTTCCTTTCCTGTTAGTTTGTGAATGTCTTATAGTTTTGATACTTTATGTTTCTTTATTGCTTATTTGATTAATTGGCTCCTCTTTTTTTAGTGAACTTGCTGTAGTCTTCATTTTGTGAGCATGTGTACTTATTGCTTTCACATATCCTTTATTTATACCTGATAAGCCGAATAGGATGTGTTGATTTTCAACTATATTTTGTCAGGATGATGAAATGGATTATAACGATTCTCGTCGTGCTCGTCGCCGCTTTGAGGAAGACCTGGAAGTAGAAGCTCGGGCAGAAAAACGCATTATGAATGCCAAAAAGGTATGTTCACTGTTACTCCTAGAGAAAGTTTCTCATTGCAATTTGCTTCTCAAATGTTTTCATTTATTTATTTTGTGATTACCAGTCACAGGGTTATAGGGACATCCCTCGCAAGTCATCCTTGTCAGATGTTAAATCATCTCGGCGGACTATTGATTTCTCTGAAAGTGACAGAGAGGAGTCTGAGTATGAAACTGAAGGGGAGGAAGATGAGAGGTCTCCTCACAAAAGGATTGAGGATGAGGAGCCGGAATATGACGAAGAGGACGAAGAGGAAGAGGAAGAGCGTGATGATGAGGTAGATGCTAACAGAGCCTCAGAGGAGGAGGAAGAGGAAGCTCAGGTATTTATTTATTATCTTTTTTCTTCAACAAATTTTCCATGCTTTATGTTTGAGCGTAAAGTTCACATGGTGCCCTATCTGAAACGCATTCAGATGGTGCTCTTCATTCCTGCATCTGCAGCAGAAAATATTTTTGTATGCCTTGATATCAGTACTCCATGATTTCTAAGAGTTTACTGATTTAGATAGCTCCTCTAAGTGAATGACTAAAAACGTTAAAATAGACTCTGCTTGTGTAAATTGTCGGTTCCGCAATTCACTATGCTAATTAATTTTATTGATATCTCAATATGCCTAGTTTTTCTGATAGTTATCATCTCTCATTTTAATTCCCACGTATGTCATGGATTTCGAATCCCATACTTAGCAGTTTTAAAGAATATTCTCTTCTGCTTTCTATCAGTCTAGATAATTGCATTATGGTTTTTGGCTGAATGATATATATTCCTTTAAAGATGAGGTTTTTCTTCAGGCTTTTAGGCATGATGCTATTAGAAACTCTCTTTAGATTTTTTAGACATGATCAATGGCTTCGTATATATTTACATGTGCTTGCATGGCTTCTTTGGAGATACAACAATTTGGTGCGTCTCTGTTTCCCTTTAGTACCAGTATAGTTGTACCAACTATTTTGAGTGGAAGGGTGAAAATTTTTAAGCATGTGTGTTTAACATGGCTGGAAGATTGGACTTTGCTGGGGTATCTGAAAGTGCTACTGTGTGTATTTAAGTTGTTGAATGATATTCAACTGTCTGTGATTGGATTGGAAAATGGTGAATATTGAAATGTCAATGTCCTTAAGATGGAGCATACATGCAGCAGAATATGATCAACAGATCTAAGCCTTTTGACTTGCTTTAAGTTATCATTCATAGAGGTTGCTATGGTTGTACCACACTCTCCCTCCTTATTTTTGTTTCTTTTAGATGAAAACAATACTGCTTGTTATGCAGAAGCATGAAATGTAAACCAGGCAATAATTTTCCCCATTGATAATGTAGTGTTAAGAATTTTATGAATTTTTTCCCTTGATTATTTTGGCAGGAACCTAGGCAAAAGGTGAAGGAGTCTGTTGGCATCATGAAGCGCAAGGGAATTGAGTCAGATGAGGACTCACCTCCTAGAAAAGCTCCAACCCATCGTCGCATGGCAGTTGTTTATGATAGTGACGAGGAATGAAACATGCTACAGACAGGATAAGAGTAGGTCTCTCTCTCTCTCTCTTTCTTTTTAAGTCATTCGAATTATATAATTCTAACTTACCTTCGATTGTTTTATTCTAAATTATTTTGAATTACTATGGGTACGCGATAGCTTAAGCATGCTTAGACAAATTCTCACATCTAAGTCAGGTTCACAAGTCTTTGGAGAGATGTTGGCTAAACTACTTGTTCTGACATCCCTTGTTGCCCCTGATTCTAGTATTAGCTTGTTCATAAAATATTGGAATTATTAGTTTAAATTAGATTAAATAGACTCTGGATTGTGAGAGTTGTTGAGGGCAGCAGGAGTGGTGCTATTTTGTACTGCATTTTTTCAAAAGCTTCGGAAACATAATGTTTGTAAAACATTTCCGCATGTGCTGCTATATCCATAGTTTCAATGACTGGCATTTTCTATTAATAGGTATAATTGTTCTTCCAAAACCATAAGAGAAGAGCTCTTTTTGTTCTCATAAAGGTATTATTGAAGCAAAAAGGCTATTGTAACATTTATGACTTAACATCATAGTTGTGAATGCCAGACAAAAAGAACTCTAGTACTTTATCAGTGGCTTCTATATTGTCCACTGCTTTCATGCTAGGGAATGACTGTGTCGAGGTTTTTCCTGTAATCTCATTATTGAAAAATACAAGTGAATGGAATTTAGTTAAAAGAAGTAGAATGCAGGGGAGCAGTACAAAGTGCCAATTCTTATGTTAAATACTTGAGGAACTTACATTGTACTCCAGCAATATTACATTGTTACACATCTAGTAGAATGAAAGGATTTTCAAATAATTTCGTGGCAAGCACTGACATATTGTGTCTAGTTAATATGATGATTAATTTTCATAATGATAAATTTATTATAATTCGTAGTCTTGATTGATGTTGGTCTGTTTCCAGAGGAAAAAGCTTGTAACTATCTGAGAATGAATTGAAGTGAGACATTGTCCTTTTGTGGGTAGGATGGTGGAGCTGATCCCACATGCTTTTCACTTGAGTTATGGCAGTTCTGGAAACACTAGATGCGGCTTACGGTTTAAATCCTATTTTCTTTAACCCCTTTCTTTCTTTTTTAAAATTGTATATATAACCTTTTCTTCATCCCCTCTTGTACGGTATGGTGTATTGAAGACAAGTTGCAAGTGAATTTGAGAGAGAAATGTGAACCCAAATGATTAGTTTTCTCAGATTATTCTTTTTCCCATAACGTGAAATGCCGCATTAGGCTTGGACTATTAACATGGTGTTTTGAGCTTAACCTTAAGGTTCACATACAAATGGAGTGTTTTTAGCTGGTGCTAACAAAATCAGATCTAGTTATATTGCATGTCTTTGTCATCCATCATTGTTGTCATCATCATTTTTGGGGTAACTGATAATCACCATTCAGTCTCATATAAGTAGTACATGTTCATCATCACTATCATTATTGTAATAGGGGTAATATCACTGAGACTAATGGCGACCCAAAAATGCTTGAGCAGTGTAATGGTGAGTACTGTATATTGTTCAACATGAATCCTTGCAAGTGTGATGAGGTTATTTGTATATTTTCAGTGGAATTATTCCTTTGGGCATGAGGAATAAAATATTTTCATGTGTTGCCCATTTTATCCACATTTGTATTCGTACTATTACTAAATCAAATGAATCAAGTAGGTCATCCTTGATTATCAAATGATGCGTTCATAGACAAGTGGTGAAACACTGAAACATCTATTAGATTCTAATCGTTGAATTCAAAAATTTGTTTGAGCCAATTTACAAGCGAAAAGCCTTGCATTTGTCCAGCCATTTCAATCCAACGCAAACTAAAATATAGATATTGGGAAGAATAAACGGTAAAATATATATATGAAAAGAAAGATAAAACTTGTATTTATTTTATCATATTTTCTTGTGTGCGATTTTTCCCAAAAATTCTTCCCTCCATATGATTATTTAATTTAAATCGTCTGTATTTGATGATTAATCAAACCATCAAGGTTCTTCTATATAGATTGACATGCATAACATCCTCCTGGTCTTGGGTAACAACTTTAAACAGCCAAATGTCACCACCGGAAGCACAATAAATGCAAATACACAAACCAAAATTAGTTGTACCTAGCCGTTATGGAACCAAAGATTTCAAAAAGTTGTACCTTGTAAAAAGAAACGATAAAATACAAGGAGAAAAAGATTTACGACCAAAATAAATAAACCAACAAAATGCTATATTACACCCTAAAACAGATCATATCTCCAAATGAAATGAAAAAGAGACTGGAAAGATCACACTTATTGCTTTGCAAAACTAAATCGGCAACAAACCTAGTTTCCACTCATCATCTACCCCAGCAGGAAAGACTCATTTGTCAAGCATTTGGAGAGATACATCACTCTTTTTCCTTTTTTTTTTTTAATAAAAATCACCTACTCAATGTTGCGCATCAATAGACTTTTTCTCATTAATGAATGTGCCTACTGATTTGAACCAATGAATCAGATTCCGGTGATCCTTCACATAAAGCCATGCTTGTAGAAATGGAAAGAGACTCTCATTTACCCCTCGTTCCTCTATGAAACTATGAAGTGCATCCCTCACCCTTTGATCGAGATCTCTGCCAAACAACAAAGAGATGGCTTAGTAATACACAAGTGTAAGAAAGGAGAATAGGTTAAGCAATAACAATTAAATGAACAGAAAAGAAGCAAATAAGCTTCATCTAGCCTCCATATAATGACAGCCAAGCATCTATGAAGAAATTCAAGTGGATCACACCTGATACACTTCCATTGATGAAGAAATCTGCTTTAAAGTAAATCAAAGCTATATGAAAAGCAAAAATGAAACATCACATAAAAATGTCAGGTATTATTAACTTGAAAAGAATTTGTTCTTTCACTATTTCAAGTAATAATTTGAAGATCAAAATTAATATGAAAGCCTATTTCGCCCAGCTAGAGCTCAATAGAAAGCACAGTTGATGTTGAACATTTCAAAAAGCACTGTCAAATTAGAAATTTTTTGAAATTTAGAATATTTTGTCCATTTAAAAATTTCATTAATCTGTCCATCTAGCTTCCCAGTGCATCTCTTTTTCAAATACTCCTACTTGGAGTTTCAGCATTTGGCCTATAAAATCAAATACTTATACAAGTCAGATGCACCCCTGGCAGGATGCTGGATATAAATTTAATCATCTATGCTGCCTCCTATGCCTAAACAAACATGAAAATCAATACCACCTCCAGCTCATCCGCCATCTATCTCTGTATCATCCAAGAACAGCGGAACTGCACCTCCTTTCTGTGTCTGTCCTCAGGCTCACGTGCATTATATTGGATTGTTATATTACCCAGAAAAAAATGTTTCTCACACCAAAGCCATCATTCCACATTCTTGTGCAGCATCTCTACTCTTTGGTTTAAAATAGATTAGCCATATAGAATTAAACTGCTTAAAGAAAGCCTAGTATTTCAATTATCTTTTCAAGCTCAAACTCTAAAATATTTGAATTTTTTTTTGAAAAACTTTGATGATAAATTGATAACAGATGTTGGGGTTACCTAATTATACTATATGCTTTCATTTTATACTTAAATAATGGGGAAAAATAATAGATGCACAGAGGCACATAGCAATGATTTCAAATCTGCATTTAATAATTTCACACACCATTCTTCCCAGCAATTTAAGAGGAAAATTCAATCAAGACGTGTCAAATAACCAAATTTAATAGTTAAACATATCGAATAGTTGACAGCTTACTCAAAAACGGGGCCGTTATATTTAGACTGAACAACATCCTCTGAAGTCTCAAGCTTTGGCCTCATTGAAACAGAGTGGATCCCAAGAGCATCAGGATACAATCCACATAGAAATTGTAAGGAGTCTTCCTGTCCAGGCTTTGACACATCTACGTGAAGGAACAACTGATTAATTCCATCCTCTTCCTCAGGGTCATCGCCTTCACCACGAATAATATTGGCCAACCGCATTACATAGATGCTAATTTCCTCCTTGCCATAGGTTCGCTTGAGGACTGGGCCATTAGAATCAAGTGCACCTTTGATAATAGTAAATGGTGAAGGAGGGCTCACTTTCTGTCAACATTAATAGAATCACAGCATTGCACAAGCTGATTAAAACATCAAATGAATGCAAAGTATGTTAATATAAACCAAAACCAATGAGTGCCAGAATTCGCCCACTAGCAGAAAGTCCTTTCCATATGCCCCATTAGAATTACAACAAAAATCTGCCTGAAAATAAACCCTAAAATCATATTATCATACAGCAATAGAATCTTCAATTGATGATTCCTACCACAAAAAGCAGCCATTATAAAAGATCTTGTGCTTCATTTACATTGTTGTTTTCCCTAAAAAGAAACCAAAAATATCTAAGTACGGTCTAATTGTTATATTAAAGAGGGAATTACAAGAAAAAATGTTGAAAGAAATAATTTTTCTGTGATAAAACATATGGGGTATGTAAGACATTATGAGTGTTCAAAACTGAGGCTCCCTTTTTGGTAGTTAACTTGCTTACTTGCCCTTTGCTCCAAAGAGAAAGAAAGAAAAAAACCATTGGGAAATAAAAATATGAAAATGAACAATATTTTTAAAATATTAATAATTTGACTTTCATGGACAACAAAATGCATAATCTTAGTTTTATATGTGTTCAAACCATTTACTCATACAAAGCATGAGCTGAACTATATGTTTATATATGTCTCTACAAAACCCTCCAAAACTCTCCCTAAACCCCAGAGTTTGGCCAAAAAAGGAAAACTCAGGTTCAGGGTTCTATGTAAACATCCCAAAAAAAAAAACACTTTTTTGCACATATATATTCATCACCATTTGACCACCCTGGGTTTTACAAGGGTTTAACAGAAATATTGAAACATCATTCAGATACCCAGAGAAAAAAGAACAGATAACGACATATTAGAGAGAGGAAGAACAAATCATACAGGGGGCGGAGTCATCCGGGAGACTTCGAGATAGTGGTCTTTGAGAGAGCGGAGCAAGAGTGAATCAACGGCCGCCGCCGCTGACGCCGACGTGGAGCCATATTTGCTGCTGCTTGTTGCTATGGCCCGCCACGATTGGCTCGCTTTGCTCTGTGTCAGTGTGACCGCTCTTCTCCACATTATTGCTGTATTTCCTTTCTTTTCCTTTCTGCTTCTGCTTTCGCAGCCTTGCAGACAAAACCAAATCTAAAGAGAAAAACAGCGATCAGAAGCGGGTGGGTCAAGGAAAAGTCCGAACCCGAATTTTCTTCGCTCTGGATTTGGCCCATGGAGTGTGACTCGAGGTCCAACCCCTTTTCAAGGTCAAATACCGTAATTTTTAATGATAATTTTATACAAATTTATTAATTTTAAAAATTATTTTTATATAAATTATAATCTTTTATTTCAATTTTTTTTTATTTTCAAAAAAAAAATTTCTACTTTCGGAGGCAGGGGCGCACATCTGGTGCTCCGAGGGAGGGAACATCAGATCGATGCTTCCAAGGGTGCTACTGAAAGAAAGCACTCGTAGCGAGGCGGTTAACCAGCGAATAGGAGTATTATAGTTTGATTATATTACTCGAAAAACAAATAAAAGAAAAAAATTTTAATTTTTTTATATTTTTTATTAATGATGATTATATTTTTAAATTTTATTATTTATTTAAAAAATTAATAAATTTGTATAAAATTATAATTAAAAGTTAAGATAGTGCAAGTATTTTATCTTTTTTAAAAATATAGTAAATAAAATACTACTCTATGAAAAACGCTTTTTTTTACCCTACAATTATTTAAAAATTTTTAAATTGAACATGAATATAAACTAAATTATATTGAACAAAATGTAACCCAAATCAAATAATTTCTTAAATAAAAAATTAAAATAGAATTATGGTATTTTTCATGTTAAAAATTATTCAAATATGTATATAATATTTGTGCAATATCTTTAAGTAGCTTAAAGGAAATAATATATTGGTTAATAAGTTTTTAGAAGTATTTCAAATTTTTGTTTCTTAATATTAAATCACCGATCAAAACAGCACATGTCTATCAAGGCTTCTAAGAATCTAGTAAAGGGATGATCAACCATAATAATACATATTGGGAGCGAAACACGTGTATAATATGATACGGTGCCATATAAAAGAAACATTCCATATTACACGATGGCTAAAAAATTAAAATTTTAAGAAAGTATATATAGTTTAATCAATAAAATTTATTAAAACATATACCCAAAAAAGGAAAGAGGAATCTTAGTAGATATATAACTAATTAGTCATGGTATTGAGGTTTAAATGTTGGTTACTGAAAATATACACTTGTCGAATATATTAATAATATTTAATATTAATATAATATTTATGTAAAAATTTGAATTATTTAAAATATAAATAAATTTTTATTTTTATATTAGGTTTAATTAAACCTTTAAAATTTTATTTTATGTTAATAATTTTTTATAATTAATAATTAATTATTATTAATCAATAAATCATTTATCATTTTTATATTAATGTAGTGCTTATATGTCATTGATTTGGATGATGAAAAATACCAAATAAATATATCATCATTATATGTTAACATACCATATCATCATTTATTATATAATATATCAATATGTCATGTTAGTTCTACGTTAGTATTATGTGACATAAAATGACAATGACATTTTGAACAAGTCAATCAATAATTATAAAGATTTATTTAATTCAAAATAAAAATATAGAGATTTGATTGAATATAATAAAAGAATAAAAATTTATTTAAACTTTTTTAAATAGTTTAGAGACTTTTTTAGATATTATGACTTTAATATTTAATAGGTTAATATAGTTATTTTTGATAAATAAATTCATGAATTGTCTCTTGTAACATTAATTAAAGAATAGAAAGGAAAGAAAGGTTGTTTAATTGTTTATAATTACTAAGAAAGAATATCCTTTGTATGAAGATTGTAGATGCAATGTAACTATATATATAGTTATATAATTAGAATTATTAATGATATTCGAATATTTAGTTTATTGATTTTTTTGTTTAAAAAGTGGAGTTTGAATTTTTTTTAATTATAAAAAAATTAAATTATTATAATTATTATTAATGGATTAATAAAGGAATGAAAAAGAAATGTTTACTTTAATGTTTTTATTTAAATAAAAAAATGGGGAAGCAGCGTGAGACGACAATCTCATATGTGGCGAGTGACATTAAACTCTTCCAGATAAGTCGCGGAGGTTCGGCTCATCAAATCAGTAGCTCAGGAGAAAGTGTCTGGTAGTTTCTAGTGGCAACTTCCATTTGTTTCCAGACTTCTCGCTTTTGCTCAACAAAAACCCATTTACTTCCTCCGTCCTCCGTCACATCTTTCGATCTCTCAACACTCAAGAAAATCATACTACGGAAGATAATCTTCTCGGGCGTAGACAAGGAATAACAACAAGCAATTCTCTAGCGTAAGGAAGGAAAAACAAGAAGCAAAGCAAAGAGACAGTATTCCGTTTTCACCTGCAATTTTCGTTTCGACTTCGATCACTAGGTAAGCTAACAACCCTTCCTTGTTATGTTTATGGAACTGTGTTTAAAAGTGTTTACTTGTATGAAAGCAGTTTTCTTTTCTCTCTTTCTTTTTGTTGGCTCATTTCTGTTGCTGTGAATCGAGTATGGAGTAAAGGGATTCTTTTTATTTTCTTTATTGTTTCGGTTCTTTTTGTTTGATGTCAAAAGTGTTGGAAACCGTAATGTTGGGTTTCTTTTTTTTTTTTAAGTAATTTGAAATCAGTTTGCTCAAAAATTGCATTGCAAGCTGCATCTTTGGTTAACTAAGGAACAAATGTTTGTTTCATTATTGATTGTTCATTGAAATTATATTACATTTTCAAAGTCTTCGATTCAGTTTTTCAATGTGAAAATATCATGCTCTCTTTGATCAGGTTATTTTCTGCTCTCTGCTTCATAGAGGCAAGGTTTTGTTTTATAGTTAATGAATGCGTTTTTGGAATGAGTTTCTTTTGGGATTGTTCTATAAGTAATACTTACGGATGCATGAATTGTGGATTTTTTGCAGACTTTATTATAACAATCAAGGACCATGAATCCTGATAAATTTACCCACAAGACTAATGAGGCTCTTGCTGGGGCACATGAGCTTGCAATGAACAATGGCCATGCCCAATTCACTCCCCTCCACCTTGCTGCTGCCTTGATATCTGATCCCAGCGGAGTCTTCTATCAAGCAATCTCCAATACTGGAGGTGAAAGTGCTGCACAGGCTGCAGAGAGAGTTTTCAATCAGGCCTTGAAGAAGCTCCCTTCACAGACTCCTCCCCCAGATGAAATTCCTGCAAGCACTTCTCTTATTAAGGGGATTCGTCGTGCCCAAGCTGCACAAAAGGCTCGTGGTGATACCCATTTGGCTGTTGATCAATTGATTTTAGGCCTTGTTGAGGATTCCCAAATTGCAGACTTGTTGAAAGAAGCTGGGGTTGCTCCAGCAAGAGTGAAATCAGAGGTTGAAAAGCTTAGAGGAAAGGAAGGGAGAAAGGTAGAGAGCGCTTCTGGGGACACTACTTTTCAAGCTCTAAAGACTTACGGGAGAGATCTTGTGGAGCAGGCTGGGAAGCTTGATCCAGTAATAGGCCGAGATGAGGAAATCAGAAGGGTTATTAGGATTCTCTCGAGGAGAACTAAGAACAACCCAGTACTTGTTGGAGAGCCAGGTGTTGGTAAGACTGCTGTGGTAGAGGGTTTGGCGCAAAGAATTGTGAGAGGAGACGTTCCAAGCAATCTTGCTGATGTGAGAGTCATTGCGTTGGACATGGGTGCATTGATTGCTGGAGCAAAATACAGAGGAGAATTTGAGGAAAGGTTAAAGGCAGTCTTGAAAGAAGTGGAGGAAGCTGAGGGCAAAGTTATTCTCTTCATTGATGAAATCCACCTAGTACTTGGTGCTGGCCGAACTGAGGGCTCCATGGATGCAGCTAACCTTTTTAAGCCTATGCTTGCTAGAGGTCAGCTTCGCTGCATTGGTGCTACAACTCTCGAGGAATATAGGAAGTATGTGGAAAAGGATGCTGCATTTGAGAGAAGGTTCCAGCAAGTTTATGTGGCTGAGCCTAGTGTTGCTGATACAATCAGCATCCTTCGAGGGCTGAAAGAGAAATATGAGGGTCACCATGGTGTTAGGATTCAGGATCGTGCCCTGGTGGTGGCCGCACAGCTATCAAGTCGATACATCACGGGTATGCCTTAGTTCTGCTTTGCAAATTCTTTGAGCAAGTGAATTTTGATATTTATTTAAACATTGTTTGAATATAGAAATTTTATTCTCTATGCTAAGGACTATTTAATATTCACTTGCACAAACGTTTCTCTTCCTTTCAGGACGGCATCTGCCTGATAAGGCAATTGATTTAGTAGATGAAGCCTGTGCGAATGTGAGAGTCCAGCTTGATAGTCAGCCTGAAGAAATTGATAATCTTGAAAGAAAAAGAATGCAATTAGAAGTTGAGCTTCATGCCTTGGAGAAGGAGAAGGACAAGGCTAGCAAAGCTCGACTTGTGGAAGTAAGTATGGGATCTTAAAGAAATGATGGCTTTTGCTAGTTTTCTTCCTTATATTAGATCTAACTTTTGTTTCTTCAATCTAGGTCCGGAAAGAGCTTGATGACTTGAGGGACAAGCTTCAGCCTCTAATGATGAAATATAGAAAGGAAAAAGAAAGGATTGATGAGATTCGACGACTCAAGCAGAAGAGAGAAGAGCTCTTGTTTGCTTTGCAGGAGGCAGAGAGGAGATATGATTTGGCAAGAGCTGCTGATTTGCGATATGGAGCAATACAGGATGTGGAATCTGCAATAGCACAGCTTGAAGGAACCACAGATGAAAACTTAATGTTAACAGAGACAGTTGGGCCAGAGCAGATTGCAGAGGTTGTAAGCCGCTGGACTGGCATTCCTGTTACGAGGCTTGGACAGAATGATAAGGAGAGGTTAATTGGACTTGCTGAGAGGTTGCATCGGAGGGTGGTGGGACAAGACCAAGCAGTTGATGCTGTTGCAGAGGCTGTTTTGAGGTCAAGAGCTGGATTAGGAAGGCCTCAACAACCAACTGGCTCATTCCTTTTCTTGGGTCCAACTGGTGTTGGTAAGACAGAGCTTGCGAAAGCGCTAGCTGAACAACTCTTTGATGATGAGAATCTGCTGATAAGGATCGACATGTCTGAGTATATGGAGCCACATTCAGTTGCTCGACTTATTGGAGCACCACCTGGGTATGTGTGTCTTCTTGTACATTTAGCTACATTTCTATTTATGGGGTTACATAATAGTAGCTTACGTACTCTCTTGTTCATATTGCAGGTACGTTGGACATGAGGAAGGGGGCCAACTCACAGAGGCTGTGAGGCGGAGGCCTTACAGTGTTGTACTATTTGATGAAGTGGAGAAGGCGCATATCTCTGTCTTTAACACTCTCCTTCAAGTCTTGGATGACGGTAGGTTAACTGATGGCCAGGGCCGCACTGTTGACTTCAGAAATACAGTGATTATCATGACTTCAAACCTTGGAGCAGAGCATCTTCTCTCTGGACTTATGGGGAAATCTTCCATGCAAGTTGCTCGTGATCGAGTAATGCAAGAGGTACTTAAAAAGGGCCCCTTGCCATCTGATGTTTTTGTTTTCTGCTGAAGTTAGGATTTTGAAGCATGAATACTAATGTCTTTTGGTTTGCTTGACAGGTAAGGCGGCACTTTAGGCCAGAGTTGCTGAACAGGCTTGATGAGATTGTCGTTTTTGATCCTCTCTCACATGATCAATTAAGGAAAGTTGCTAGATTGCAAATGAAGGAGGTTGCAAGCCGGCTTGCTGAGAGGGGTATTGCATTAGCTGTAACAGATTCAGCATTGGACTACATATTAGCTGAGAGTTATGATCCAGTAAGTATTATCACATATTAGTCCGGATATATTTCTTTCTGACCCCTGTTTTTGCAGATTAATAATTATGTTTCCTTTTTTCTGAATAGGTTTACGGTGCAAGACCTATTAGGAGATGGCTTGAGAAGAGGGTTGTCACTGAGCTATCAAGGAAGCTTGTGAGGGAGGAGATTGATGAGAACTCAACCGTTTACATCGATGCAGCTCCAGACGGAAGTGACTTGGTGTACCGGGTGGAGAAAAACGGAGGGCTAGTCAATGCAGCCACTGGACAAAAGTCGGACGTGTTGATCCAAATCCCGAATGGGCTTGCAAGAAGTGACGCTGCACAGGCTGTGAAGAAAATGAAGATCGAAGAGATAGATGATGAAGGTGATGAAACGGACGTGTAAACTTAGAGCTTGGGTGTATCCTTGATGTTGAATGTTTGAATAGTTGAGGGTTGCTCTCAACCCTCTTTGCAATTTCGGCTTTTGTTAAATGTAAATAAAACAATGGGTTTGGTTTCGATTATGCTTAATAATATTTTGTAACAAAACGTGTGTTGTTTCTTCCAACTCAATTGAATGTGAGAGGAGGGCAACGTGTTTGCACTAGAATTAATATAAAAGATATTTGGCAACTAATCTTTCAAATCTAATATTGCTATTACGGTACAAAACTATATCTGTCATTTAAGTATTAGAGAAGTTGCAATTACCATCCCACCCTTTTCCAAGGCAAGAAAAACCGTCCTTTTCTGGGTTCGGAGTTGTGTCCTGAGCCCAGAAGCCAGAGCATTATGACGAACCCTCCGTACAAAATTCTTCACTTTTGGAGTGGCGACCATGTTCCTAATTCGCTTCTGGCATTACTCATTACCTTATACTGGCTGCCTATAACCCGCCTCCTCCTCTGGAAATCTTTCTTGTCTCCGAGAATTCTGTATCTAGACTTAAAACATTTTTGTTAAAAATTACTTGATTATGATTATAATTGTTGCTGATATATGGCATTTTATAAAAAAAAAAAACACTTTTCTAAACATATTATCGCCTCAAAATACATGTTTTTTTTTCTTAAGTCATCATTTCTTTATTTATATTTTAATATATGAAACTAGATAACTGTTCAAAGGTGTTTATAGACACTTGTTACCATGACATTCATAAAAAAAAGGTTTCTTATAAATTTATTGTTAAAAGGTGTTTATTGTTTGTTCTTTACTTTGATGAGAATAGTGTATTAAATGAAAAAAATTTCTTAAAATAGAATTTTAACTTAAATTAGTAAGCGTCCATAAACACCGGTTAATCGAATCCTATAAAAAAAACTATAAGTTAAATAATAAATAAATAAATACATTCTTTGAATATAAAAAAATGGAATAATAAATATGTCACATTCACATTGAAAAAAAATACATTTAGATATTTAAATATTAAATATGTCATTGAATTAGAATATAAATTAATTAAAATATAATTTGATAATAATTAAAAGAAAATTTGAAAATAATTAAGTCTCGAAACTAAATAATTTTTTTCTCATTATTTGGTTGATATAAAATGGAATATAATAGGAGTTACCATCTTATTATGTTTGATTGATTGGGAGAAATATAAAAAGAGCAAGTTTAAGATATCATTGGATAAAAATTAATTACTATAACCTTTAATCCTAGGTGGAAATTTGAAAAAGTGTTAATAGGTGAGAATTGAGATGATATGTGAAGATGGTATAGTCTATGCTGAACTTCTTAAGGAGTAGTTAGTGTGAGAATTTCATCTTGAGAGTTTTTATTTAAATAAATTAAAATTAATTTATCAAAACAATTTACGAGATTCATGAGAAAAGGAAGAGCTACTTCATTTCATTTGCATATCAAAAATGATCTTTAATTGTTACAAAACATGAAAAGGGCATTATAACAATGGCATCACATTCCATGTATCAAAGCCCTGGGGCACTTGCCTTATTCAAAATGCCATACCACTAAAGGTGACTCAATAAGCTCAAATACTTAAAATGAAATATTTAAATGAGTTTTTTTATTAAAATTTTATTTTTTTAACTTTTTGAAATGCAAAATTTTTAATTAAAATTTTATAATCAAGCTCTTCTAATATTTCTTTTTCAATTGATAATATAGCTAATTCATTTAATCTTTCTTGAGACATTGTTGATCTTAAATAAGATTTTATTAATTTTAGTTTTGAAAAACTTCTTTCTCCAAAAGTAAGACTTAATAGAATTATTAACACTATTTTAAAAGCAATAGATGTATTTGGAAAAGAATTGAGTCTTCTTATTAAGTATGTCAATTGGATTGCTTTCTTCCATTTGTATAATTTCTTTTAAAAATGTCTTGAAAATTCATCTTTAAGAAAATCTAAATCATTAACTTTAATTGAACCTTTCTTTACCAATAAATAATATTTGCCCATTGACTTGGATCATAAATATTTTTAGAAATGCAATCATTTAAATTAATAGGTTGATCCTCTTCATCATGATTTCTATGATCATTTTAAATCTCTTCATGATTTCTATGATAATTTTGAATATGTTCATTAACTTCTTGTTCTAGGATTTCATCATCATCTAACTCTCTAAGATTATTAACTTGTTTACATTCATTAATAATTTCTGATTTATTATTTTTATTACTTGTAAAAAATTTATCAAGTGCTCTTTTTTGATATTGTATTAAACTTTCAATTCTTTTTTTTAAGCTTTGAATAACTAGATTCATATTTTTAATTTGACAGATTCAAATATTTATTATGAGGCAGAAAAATATTTAGCTACTATAATTATTTTATATTTTTTAAATGGCTAATATAAAATCAACGATCAAAATTTCTAATTCAAATAAATCAACTATCATATAAAATAAAGATAATATAATAATATATTATAAACTTTAAATTAAAGTAAAAAAGTCTGTAAAGATTAGAACAGTAGTACCTAATTGTTGCATGCTTATTGTAAATCATAAATAAGGTTCATGGCTTTGTAAAAATAATAACATAACAAACTTTCTGTGTATTCTTTGGAGGAAAATTGTAATTAAAGGAAGAAAGAGCAAATGAGAAAAAAAGAATTCAAATATAGATATTATACATTGAAAAAAAATAATTAGTTTTATATATAGGTAAAAAAATAGTTGTTAGAAACCATTAAATACGTTGATATGAAATAGGAGAAATAAGTGAGAAAAAAAATAACTGTTAGAGATAATTAAATGCATATAACCATTAATTGATTAGAAATAAGAGAAATAGTTGAGAATTAATAGCATTCTAAAAATATAAAGTGATTGAAAATTGAGATTTATTAAGCATATAATTAGAGAAGTGAGAGAATAAGTAATTTTATTAATTATTT